AGCCCCACTGTGACCCAGTGGCCCCCCAGCCCCACTGTGACCCAGTGGCCCCCCAGCCCCGTACTGTGCCCCGCCTCCCAACCCTGCTGTGCCCCCAGTATCCCGCCCCCAACCCTGCTGTGCCCCCAGTATTGTGCCCTGCTGTGCCCCCAGTGCCCCACCTCCAGCCCTGCTGTGCCCCCAGTGTCCCAGCTCCACCCTGGCCACGCCTCCCTGCCTGGCTAGGCCCTGCCCCAACCCCTGCTGTGACCTCTGTATCCCTTATCTGCTACCCTCCGACCTGGTGCACGGCTGTGCTCGGTCCCTACCACGGCTGGTATAGGGCACCAACTCTTGGCGATATAACTATGTCACTCGGGGGTATGGAAAATCCACACCCCTGAGCCATGTAGTTATACCGACCTACCCCTGGTGCAGAGAGTGCTGTGTCAAGGGGAGGGCTTCTCCTGTCGACATGCTATCGCCTCTTGGGGAGGTGGATTAACTGCATAGGTAGCGTCTTCACTTAACGCTGCATCGCTGTAGGTGTAGACAAGCCTTCAGTTTCAGCTGCACAGCACCTTCCCCATCCCCTACACCAGGGCTGCTGGGGGATGTAGGTGCTGGTTGTGCCTGCTGTAGTCCCTTCCCTGCCACGCAGATGTAGGTGGTTTTAACACCCTTTGTGCTGCATGAATATTTGCAAGGATCCGTTCTAGGGGAACATTTTCAGAAAAAATTGTTCCAATTTTTAAATAATGGAAATAGTGGTCCATTGAGGCTGGGGAAACAAAAGTTTTTATGAAATGGTTTTTCTTTTCCAACCACTTCTACTTTCCATTTGTTCTGATACTAATTGGGAGCTGCCAGAAAAATGGGGGGGGGGGGGAGAAGGAAAAATGATTGGCCAACTGGCCTCCTGGCAGTCAAGTGATTTGGAATGATGGCGTTTTCGCCAATAAATAGGGCTTCTGGAGTGCAGGTTGCACTGACAATCCCTGCAGGTGATTTAGTAAGTGATTGTCTCAGCTGGAACACTGTAGACCCTTTGTTCTACAATATCCCGACAGCTTCTTTTTTCATTCTAGCAAAAAGAACAGGAGTACTTGTGGCACCTTAGAGACTAATAAATTTATTTGAGCATAAGCTTTCGTGGGCTAAAACCCACTTCATCGGATGCATGCAGTGGAAAATACAGTAGGAAGATATATATACACAGAGGACATGAAAAAATGGGTGTTGCCATACTAACTATAATGAGTAATCAATTAAGGTGGGCTATTTTCAGCAGGAGGAAAAAAAACTTTTGTAGTGATAATCAGGATGGCCCATTTCCAACAGTTGACAAGAAGGTGTGAGTAACAGTAGGGGAAAAAATTAGCATGGGGAAAATGAACATGTGCTGGGTCATCTTCTGAGACTGCTATAACATGAAATATATGCAGAATGCAGGTAAAACAGAGCAGGAGATGTACAAGTCTCCCCCCAAGAAGTACAGTCACAAATTTAATTGACACATTATTTTTTTAACGAGCATCATCAGCATGGAAGCATGTCCTCTGGAATGGTTGCCAAAGCATGAAGGGGCATATGAATGTTTAGCATATCTGGCATGTAAATACCTTGCAACGCTGGCTACAAAAGTACCATGCAAACACCTGTTCTCACTTTCAGGTGACGTAAATAAGAAGCAGCAGTATCTTCCGTCAATGTAAACAAACTCGTTTGTCTTAGCGATTGGCAAAATAAGAAGTAGGACTGAGTGGACTTTGTTTTAGTCTTGAATGCAGTTATGTAACCAAAAGAATCTGCATTTGTAAATTACACTTTCACGATAAAGAGATTGAACTTCAGTACTTGTATGAGGTGAACTGAAAAAATACTATTTCTTGTTTATCATTTTTACAGTGCATATGTGTAATAAAAAATAATACAAAGTGAGCACTGTGTACTTTGTATTCTGTGTTGTAATTGAAATCCATATTGAAAATGTAGAAAAACATCCAAAATATTTAATAAATTTCAAGTGGTATTCTATTGTTATACATGCGATTCATTTTTTAAATGGTGATTAAGTTTTTTTGAGTTAATCACGTGAGTTAACTGCAATTAATTGACCGCCCTAAATATAAGCTATACTAGTACCTCTAATAACCACACCCAAACTTGAACTTTTACCAGCATAGCTATGTCAGCAAAAACTCACGCTCCTAACCAATGTAGCTATGCTGGTAAAACGTTTAAAGTGTAGACCAGGCCTTAGTCACAACCTTAATCCTGCCAGAAGCAGGAGGAAGCGATTTGTGTAGATAGCGCTGGAACTTCACATCACAATGATTCAAAGCACCCGCCCCGCTGATAACATAACTGGGTTGAAGTCTGAGGGCCAGGCCCTCAACTTGGGTGAGTCATGGAGCTCCAGTGAATTCAGTACAATAGCTAAAGACCCATCCCTGAGATTTTAGAACGGCCAATGCATTGCCAGCTGGTCGTAATCACGTGTGCTGTGGCCCAGCCTGCCCTGATGCGTCACTCCCCTAGGAAGAGGACAGTTTCGTCTTTCTTTAACAGGCAACTGCTGCTCTTCTTTCTAAGACCCCCACATATTAAAACTTACCTATGTAACAAGATCATCTAGAAGGGTCTGATCTTCTAGTCTTCACTCATGTAAAGCGCCCACTGACTTCAGTTGACTAAGTTTAAGCTCAAGTGTAAATGCACCTACTAGCTGAGTCCAATTTTAAGAGCACCTGTGAGCCACTATTTAACTGAAGGGGGGAATGTGAACTGGTGTTTCAGACCAGACCCCACAGAATGCGCTTGCTTGAGGAGACACACCCACCATTGCAACCCATTGCTGTTGCCTCCCACCAGGAACTGTATTCAGGCAGGAAACTACTGACCCTTTGTGTTTTAGGAAAATCTCAAGTCACTTGGCACAAATGAATTTCCCAGTATCCTAAAATGCTCTTAACTCCCTGCATGCAAAGCAGCACCTGCCTAGCAAAAAACCTTCCTCTCTATCTAAGGGGGAAGTTCAGCTCACTCTGCTCCAAGCTCAAGCAATTGGGCTCATTTAGGGGCTTGGGGTAGGGGGGTGTCACCCCCTCTGCGCTGGCTGGCTCTGAGGCAGCATGGGGAGTTCCTCTCCAGGGCAGCTAGAGGGTGTAAACCCCTCATGTGGCAGCTCCGTCACACAGTCTGCCACGCAAACTCTTCACAATATACTAGGGCTGGCATTTTCCAGGCTGCATACCTGGAATTAGGCATCTAATTTGGTGCTGAGCCCCCTGGAGTCAGAGGTGGGGTGCTAAACCCTTCGATCAGTCAAAGCCAGTTTAATTTACGTGCCCAACTTCAGCACCAACATTCTCCAACTTTGGCTCAGTCATCTGAAAGACCCTTGAATTACCCATGTTAGCCCTGCAGCTCCCACAACTGGAAGGATGTTCATCTAGGCCAGCTGTATCTCTGACATTTATTTTAAAGCATTCCCAGAAAAAAATATTTCCAGTCAATGGGCACTTTAATGCAGGAGGATGTTCTGGCGTTGCGGCTTCCTGCATAGGGACCATGTTCACATAGTATCAATTCCCTTCTCTGTCCTGGTGGCCGCTTCTGCCTGGATGGGCTGCCCTGCCCTGGCTCACGCTATGCCCTGATTGCCGCGGTCTGCCTGCATCCTCAAATTGTTTCAGGTAGAACTGTGTGGCAAGCTGCCTTGTCATCACTTTAAGTGCAAAGAAGCCAGCTGTGATCTCAGAAGCAAGAAACACCAGGTAAATGATATGCACAGCTGTCTCCAAGGGCAGCCGAATGATGTGCTCATCCATGAGGAGGAAAAGCAGGAGGGGGAGCTGTATCAGGAAGGATAGGAGCAGGAATCCAGCCAGTTCAGGTACCTGCAGAAGCAAAGGCAGCTGAGAGGAAAGACTGAAAACACCACAGCAAATGCTACAAAGAGCAGCACGCAGCCGAGGCTTTGGGGCTGTGACCTCAAGAGAATGTGTGAAGTGAGAGACAGAACACTGTGTAGGACTTGGAGCCCAGGACTGGGAATTCTAGGCTCTAGAACTTGGCCATTCCCCCCTGAGCATCGCCATAAAGGATGCTTCAGCATTTCACTCTCCCTTTGCTTGTCTGCCTAGCCTCCAGTGGGGCCCAGCCACAGATCTTGCAGGACTCCTGCCCCAAAGTGGAATACAGCTGGGTGCATAATGTATTTGACTCCTGTTGTCCACTAACAGGTCTTGCTGAGCTAGGGCAGTGTGGCTCAGTGGGTAGGATATTAGCCTGCCACTCAAAAGACCTGCATTTAATTCTCTTCTCTGCCACTGACTTCCTCTGTGACCTTGGGCAAGTCACTTAGGGCTTGTGTGGACAAATAGTGCAAGATAGATATACACTCGGGTTTGCTGAGCACCAAGTGTCCACGTAGACCCTGCTGCTGTGCACTAAGTTTCATAGTGGGCTTTGAAATACAAGTAGATCAAAGCTCACTAGGGAACTGTTAGGGCACGGCAGCAGGTCCACACCATCAGTGAATGCATGGCAGGCTAATGTGAGGTAAGTTACACCCTCGCTTGCCACATGCTGTCCAGACAAGCCATCTGTCTCCGTTCCCAAGCTATAAAATGAGGATAATAGTGCTTCCTACCCCACAGGGGGTTGTGCAGATGAATACATTCAAGACTGAGAGGCGCTCAGTGAGACATACCCAGGGATCAATCCAGACCAAGTAGTAGCTGGGTCACCCCTGCCCTCCTACCCAGGGTGCCCTTTACAATGCCTTGCTGCTGTAGCCTCTGGACTGGTCACAAACAGCCTCGAGCATGCAAGTCACACACGTGTGTGTGCTTCAGATAGCCAGCCACACCTTGGTTCTTACTGCAGTGACCCCAACACCCACCAGCCCTAGATTTACCCCCCAGATATGTCTGTCCTGTACTGCCAAGCCCTCTCCTGGACACTACAAGTCCGTTATTTCTTTAATAGAAAAAACATGCACACTACTTGCCACCCCAAATGGGGTTTCCCAGGCACTTCAATTTAAACTCACTGGATTAGATAAAACAAGCTTATTACTCACAAAGAGAGATTTTAAGTGAGTACAAGTCATGAGGCATAAAAGTCAGAAATGGTTACAAGAAAAATAAAGATAAAATGCAACTGGTGCTTAACAAACTCTGTTAAATTCAAAGCAAAGTTTTCTCATCACATGCGTTCAGCAGTCTTGCTGCCCACATTTCTTAAGTCAGGACCCCTTCTCCCAGAATCCAATTAATGCTTTCTTTGTCGCTTCAGGTGCTGTGAATGCAATGGACAGGAAGAGGCAGGGATCCTTGGGATGTTTGTCTCTCCTTTTTATAGTTTCAGTCCCCCTCTTGAAAACATTTACAGCTGAGATTTATATGGAAGGAAACCCTCCTGTTTTCCCCCCACCTGGTTGAACTTCCTTTGTCTCCCCCTCTTTGTCTGCCCCACTTGATGTGTTTATTGCTTAAATGCAAATTAAGCAGAGCACACATTCCTTTGTTTGAGACAGACCTGTTTACCAACCTCTGTTTGGAACATGTGTTAATAACACCATGCAGCGGAATCTGATAAACTTCACATACAATGTTGCCATATATTTTACCAGGATAATAATGATCAGCAAATTATGATTTTTCAAATGATACCTCAAGGCATATTTTGTGCAGAGTTTATTACAGTGGTGTGTAGGGTGTGGAAACAGGTATATTCTGTCACACTCGGATACTATGATGAGGAGAGCCAGATAAGTGCCTTAACTAGACTAGACTGAGCCTAGCAGAGGACCCAGGGTATGTAGGAAGGTGACTCTAAACCACTTTTCCGGTAGGGGGAGGAGTGCAAAATTCCTGGCATAATTTAGGGCAGCCTAAGAACTGCTGGGAGTTGCACCAGCCACAACAGCTTCCCCACCCTCTGACTGTTTCTCTAGCTAGTGATCATGCTATAGCTCTACTCCATCCTACCCTTGGGAACACCTACACCCAAGGGGGAAAGGAGGTGATGTAAAGGCCACTATACCTGCTTTATAGCAACTGGGACTCTCACTAGTCCACGGGGATCCCCGGCTGTCTTATGAAGACAGAGCTGTTTTCTTTACAGTGATGCAAAGGAGTTGGAATTGGTGCCAGGCTTATTATTCAATTAATCCAAAATATTGGCCAGTTAATTTCCATGAATTTATTCTTGGGCTTCAGGTCTCAATATCAATCATAGTGAGGACCACCTCTTAACATATTTCTTCTCATAGGCATGTCCCTCCTACTAGTTGGCACCCGGCCACTCCTTCCCTCCATTTGCAATCACATAACTTCCCTATGGCAACTCCAATGATCACTTTCATGGCAAGAGAACATTGGGATGGGGGCAGGGGCAAATGATTTTGTACTTTGATAAATTGGGAAAGTATTTCATGTACTTTTATCTTCTTTTCATATAGTCACAGAAATGTTGGGCTGGAAGGGACCTTCAGAAGTCATCAAGTCCAGCCCCCTGCCCTGAGGCAGGACCAAGTATCATCCCTGACAGGTGTTTGTCCGACTTGTTCTTAAAATCCTCCAATGGTGGGAATTTCACACCCTCCCTTGGAAACCTGCTCCAGAGCTTAACTATCCTTATTGCTAGAAAGTGTTTCCTAATATTTAACCTGAATCCCCCTTGCTGCAAATTAAACCCATTGCTTCTTGCCCTACTTTCAGTGGACATGGCTAACAATTGATAAGTCTTCAAATATGTTAAGGGAAATTTTAGAGGACTATGATCAGGTCCCCCCTCAGGCTTCTTTTCTTTTGATTAAACATGCCCACTTTTAACCTTTCCTCAGAGGGCAGGTTTTCTAAACCTTTGATCATTTTTGTTTCTCTCCTCTGGACTCCCCAATTTGTCCACACATTTCCTAGAGTGTGGTTCACAGTACTCCAGCCGAGGCCTCACCAGGGCTGAGTAGAGTGGGACAATTACTCCTGTGTTTTACATATATCCCTGTTAATACACTCCAGAATGATATTAGCCTTTTTAGGAGGGCTCTCGATTAAGCACAGTTAACTCACAAGATTAACTCAAAATTAATAGCAATGAATTGCTGTTTTAATTGCACTGTTAAACAATAGAATACCAATTGAAATGTATTAAATATTTGTGGATGGTTTTCTACATTTTCAAATATTTTATTTCAATTTACAACACAGAATACAGAGTGTATAGTGCTCCTTTATATTACAAATATTTGCACCGTAAAAATAATAAACAAAAGAAATAGTGTCAAGTATCAGAGGGGTAACCATGTTAGTCTGGATCTGTAAAAAGCAACAGAGGCCTGTGGTACCTTATAGACTAACAGACGTATTGGAGCATAAGCTTTCATGGGTGAATACCCACTTTGTCAGATGCATGCACCCACGAAAGCTTATGCTCCAATACGTCAGTTAGTCTAAAAGAAATAGCATTTTTCAATTTACCTCATACATGTACTGTAGTACGATCTCTATCATGAAAGTGCAACTTACAAATGTAGATTTTTTTTGTTACATAACTGTTTTGTTTTTGAGTGCAATGTAAAACTTTAGAGCCTACAAGTCCACTCAGTCCTACTTCTTGTTCAGCCAATCACTAAGACAAAAAGTTTTACATTTATGGGCGATAATGCTGCCCGCTTCTTATTTACAATGTCACCTGAAAATGAGAACAGGTGTTTGCATGGCAGTGTTGTAGCTGGAATTGCTAAGTATTTATGTGTCAGGTATGCTAAACATTCATATGCCTCTTCATGCTTTGGCCACCATTCCAGAGTGTGACGTGACGCTGCATATTCTTTATAGAAATATGCTTATAATATGAATATGGCATAACTAAGATATTTTATGCAAGATGGGCCTTGTAAGATATCATTGGAATGGTTATGCTTTACTGAATGTGATTATCCAATTTGTATGCATGTATCATTTCTGTATCTAAGGTAGGAATATTGACTATGTAACAATTACAAATCAGTGTGTACTTGGGGAAACACCCACCAGACAGCAGGCCATCAGCCTTGATGGGCCATTAGGAGGAAACAATAAGACTTTGAAGATACTAATCTGTCTCCTTCCTGAGAAGTGTCCTGGGATGTTGCTTTGACACTGCAAGGTCAAGTGATAAAGTCACCTGGTGTAAAGTACGACCTCAGACACTGCTGGTACTTTTGCCCCGGAAACAGAGGCTTCCCAGCTTATGTAAATTCTATTTAAGACTGGGAAGCAAGTCAATCCAACACTCTTGTCCTTTGCCTTCCCACCCAAGAAGAACGGCTGCTGAAAGTACTGAAGAGACACAGGAACTAAGCTGAGGGAAAGGAAAGGGCTGAGTCCAGACTAAGACAAGAGTCTACTCTGTAAAGAGAAATAACTGGAACTCTAAGCTACAGAAACTCTGCAACCTGCCTAAACAACATTTAGAGTGAGAAACTACATTTTGTAACCTGTGTGTTTAGTGTATTAAGCTTAGTTTGTGTGTTTTATTTATTCAGTAATTTGCTTTCTGTTTGCTATCCCTTATAGCAACTTAAAATTTACCTTTTGTAGTTAATAAAAACTTATTTCTGGTTTATAACATAACCCAGTTTGTGCAATTCATATCTGGGAGGCAGGGAGAAGCTGTGTAGGGAGAGGGCAAATTTTTATGAGCTTGCGCTGTGCTGATCTTTTATACAGTGCAAGACATCATCATCTTGGGTGTACTCTCTAGCGGGAAGCTGCACTTGAGTGCTGGGCAATTTCCTAGCTGAGTCTTCCCATAGACCCATTGCAGCCCCTGTGTGATTCTACAGCTGGTGCGTCTCTACCTGTGTGTGCTGCTAGAGGCCGGAGAGCCTGATTCAGCAAAACAGGGAGAGGGAGCCTAGGCTGGTGAAACAGGAGGAGCTCAGTGAAACCCCAGTACATCAGCTGACATCCCAGATGGGGGGGGTCCAACCCATCACACAGAGGACATGCTTCCATGCCACTGATGCTCATTTAAAACAAAATGCATTAATTAAATTTGTGACTGAACTCCTGGGGGGAGAATTGTGTGTCTCTTGCTCTTACCTGCATTCTGCCATAGATTTCATGTTATGACAACCCAGCATGTTGTTCAATTTAAGAACACTTTCACTACAGATTTGTCAAAATGCAAAGAAGGTCCCTGTAGCAGAGCGTGGCAGGGCCCCCTTGGCTCCTGCCTCTGCTAAATCCACAAAATCGCTCAGACCCTGGGGTGAGTCTCCACTGGTGAAGTTCATTCACAGGCTTGCTCTTACCACCGTTTCACCATGAACAGTTAGCCCTTCACCATCGGAAGGCAGAAAAGAGCTACCTCCCTGCTTCTACTCCCTGCCTTTCCCCTTTCTTTCTGCTCCCTCCTTGGCTTCCTTCCCCTGAGGTTTTAATACAGCCCCAGGCTAATTAGGCGGCAGCTGTCTCTGCCTCCCCAGTTAGGGCCAAGTTATCTCCAGCCACCTCTAATCTATCCCCCTAAATGGAAGCTGGCGCGACAGAGGGCTGAATCAGCAACCCTTTGCCCAGCACCCTGTCACCGGACCAATGTGAGATTTCTAAAGAGAGCTACAGCACTCGAACCAAGTTTAAAAATCTGAAGTGCCTTCCAAAATCAGAGAGGGACGAGGTGTGGAGCATGTTTGCAGAAGTCTTAAAAAAGCACCAGCCCAATGAGGAAACCACAGAACCCGAACCACCAAAAGAAAAATCAACTTTTTGCTGGTGGCATGGAATCTGACTCAGATGATGAAAATGAACATGTGTCGGTTTGCACTGCTTTGGCTTGTCAACAAGCAGAACCCATCATCGGCATGGAAGCATGTGCTCTGGAATGCTGGGCAAAGCATGAAGGGACATATGAATCTTTACCGTATCTGGCACCTAAATATCTTGTGACTCCGGCTACAACAGTGCCATGCAAATGCCTGTTCTCACTTTCAGATGACATTGTAAACAAGAAGCAGGCAGCATTATCTCCTTCAAATGAAAACAAACTTGTTTGTCTGAGGAATTGGCTGAATAAGAAGTAGGACTGAGTGGACCTGTAGGCTCTAAAGTTTTACACTGTTTTATTTTTGAGTGCAGTTATTTTTTTGTACATAATTCTACATTTGTAAGGTCAATTTCCATGATAAAGATTGCACTACAGCACTTGTATTAGGTGAATTGAAAAACACTAATATACCAATACTAAAAATATTTCTCTTTTTTACAGTGCAAATATTTGTAATAAAAATATGAAGTGAGCACTGTACACTTTGTATTCTGTGTTGTAATTGAAATAAATATATTTGAAAATGTGGAAAACATCCAAAAATATTTAAATAAATGGTATTCTATTGTTTATCAGAGCAATGAATCGCGATTAATTTTTTTAATCATGCGATTAATTTTTTTAATAGTTTGACAGCCCTACTTTTTACCAACTGCATCACATTGCAAACTCATTTTCAATTTGTGATCTACTGTAACCCCCAGATCCTTTTCAACAGTACCACCAACTAGCCAGTTATTCCCCCTCTTGAAATTATGCATTTAAGTTTTTTCCTTCTTAAGGGAGTATTTTACACTTGTCTATATTGAATTTCATCTTTTTAATTTCAGACCAATTCTGCAATTTGTCAAGGTTGTTCTGAATTCAAACCCTGCCCTCCAAAATGAGTGCAACCCATCTTAGCTTGGTGTTAGCCACAGATGCTATAAGCATATGCTCCACTCCATTATTCAAGTCATTAATGAAAATATTTGACCTTCCCCCTGCAAGGGAGCTTTCCAGCACGCTTTCCAGAGCTGAAGTGATGAAGCAGAGTTTGATGGGGAGCTGTAGCTTCCATGCCCTGGCCACTAGCCTGCTCAGGCCTTGAATCAGTTCTTACCTTTCCTTGCAGATTTCCAGTGTATCCAAGATACAAGCGTAACCCTTCAGCTAATGCGAGAATCAGGAAGGCAGCAACAAGGAGGAACTGGTAGTAACAGGGCAGCAGGCCGTACTGTAACAGGAGGGCATTAGTGACAGACCATCACCGTTTCATCCCACCAGCCCCACACCTGGCACCAGCCCCAACACAAACCCCTCCCATCCCTCCATATATTCACTCTATCCACTTCACCTGCCTCCCTTACTGCTACCGTGCCACTGCTGCGCCCCTTGTCAGGGACTGGGACATGGGCAGTCATGACCAGTGGTTAAATCCAGAGTCAGAGGCCAGGTGCCGGAGCCCAAAAATCAGCCAAGAGTCAGAAGTGGGTTAGCTGGAATGAGGCAAGGCAAGACAGGGGCTCTCGCAGCCATGGGCAATTGCTTCAAGCAGCCAATGAACAGCGACGATGACAACTGCTGCTGCTGGGCTTAACAGCTGGTCTGCTGACTTTCCAGCCCCTCAGGTAGTGTACTACAGGCCAGCTGTGCTCGTTAGGTTGCCCTGAGTCTGGCTCTGCTGCAAGCCCAGATTCATGGATTCACAGAGTCCAAGGCCAGAAGGGACCATTGTGATCATCTGTCTGACCTCCAAAATAATTCCTAAAGCAGATCATTTAGAAAAACATCCAATCCTAATTTAAAAATTGTCAGTGATGGAGAATCCAGCATGGCCCTTGGTAAATTGTTCCAAGGGTTAATTACTGTCGCAGTTAAAAATTTGCACCTTATTTCCAGTCTGAATTTGTCTAGCTTCAACTTCCTGCCATATTAGACCTTTCTCTGCTAGACTCCTTCTGTCTCTCCAGGGCTGACCCGTGGCTCATTTTGCAGACTGCCCACCCTGGACCCAGCTCTAACCAATAGGCGGAACTCTCACTCCCACCACTAGGCCTGACTGCCCATGGCCCAGGACACTGCAGAGGAATGCTTCTTGCCCATGGGATGGATCAGGCAGAAACATCATCTCTTGGACCTCCCCTGGCCTGGGATATTTAAACCCAATGGAAACATAAGACGCGCACAAGAAGTTTTGCCATTTGACAGGAGTTGCCATTTCTCAGGGTTTGAAATGGACCCATCTGGTGTTTACGTGTGTTTTGGGAAACGAAGGATTTTGATGGCTGGCTTGGAAATGGGTTCAAGAAAAGTTTTGATAAATCTCATGGAAAAATGAAAGAAAAACAAACTTTCTAGAAGGTCAGTTTGAGAAAAGAGTTTTTGGAAAATGGCTGTTTGTCGACAAAAACCCTTTCTGCTTGATAAACCCTGACCTGGGCACAGCTTGGCTGGCAGACTGCAAGAAAGGGCAAGCGTGCAGTTGCTTGGGCACTGAAGGAACGCATTAGGTGGGACCAGGGCCGGCTCCAGCATTTCTGCCGCCCCAAGCGAAAAGAAAAAAAAAAAAAAGACGCCACGATTGGCGGCGGCAGTTCAGTGGCAGATCCTTTTCTCTTAGAGGGAGTGAAGGACCTGCTGCCCCCGAATTGCTGCAGGTGCCGCCCCAAGCACCTGCTTGTTAAGCTGGTGCCTGGAACCGGCCCTGGGTAGGACTTCACTCATCTTTCCAGCTCTAATCCCTGGTTATATGGTACCTTTAATGCCAGCATTATCCCCTCGCACAGGCACCAGAATGGGAAATAGAAGACATTGAAGAATAGCATCATCTGGAGAGGCAGGCTGGACAGCACCTCATGCCCTAGGCAGGAATGAAAAGGCACAAGGTAAGCAGGTCTCTCCCATCATCACACTGCAAATCCCAGTCTCACAGGGGAGAACCTGCCCCACAAAATGGGCATTTTACTGAAGAACAAACCTGAGAATGCAGCCTGCTCTGTTTCTGAGCATGGCCCCTGCCCAGGGGCCCATGCAGCCCAGTCTCCTGTTGCTGGTAGTTGCTAGCACCAGCTGTTAATGCAGAAAGCGCAGGAACTCCCCCGTGGGTGATCCTGACGGGGTTTCACTGTGACCCCTTTCAAGGTTGGCTTGTGGGTTTAGATCCCTTCCAATTTTTTTAATCCTCTCTAATGTAAATGTGGGTTTTCACATTATCCACATACATGGCTGATGCTTTTATGATTCCCACCAACATCCTGGCATCAGCAATCTCAAATGGCAGGGGGCTCTGCAGGTTAATCATATAATGGTGTAAAACAAATTCCCTTTTTAGCAGTTTTGTACTTGCTGCCTCAGTTTCACTAAATGCCCCTTGTTCTTGTATTAGGAGAAAGGTCAGTAGAGTTAAGAGATTCCAAGGCCACCACTGTGATCATCTAGTCTGACTTGTATAACACAGGCCAGAGACTTGGCCCAAATAAGTTCCTGATCGACCTGTCCACCTCTGTCCTTATTCCCGGCCTCTTCATCCTAAACAATCCCAACCTTTGCAATCTCTCCACCACCCACCTGGCGGGACAAGGATAATACAAAGACTCCTGGCCTGTACACCTATCCTACTCCCCTCCTCGCTTGGAGCCCATCTCCTTCACTGTGCACCGTATTGTGTCAGGCCCCTCCGAGTGAGCACACAACACATGGGGCAGGCCAGGAAGGCTGGTGCTTGTGCTGCTCAGAGTTCTGCCTCTCTCAGTGTAGGAGACAAAAGCATCTATTCATAGCATAAAGCAAAGTCCATTTTGACTTTGCAGCAGTAAAAGCAACAGCAAACACCCAACCACATTCCTGAAGCAGAGCCCCTGTAAGCTGTGCTTAATCCACCCTGGCTCTGGGGCAGGCAGAGCCGAGAGCGCACAGCCCCTGACCTGGGCTCCGGGATTACGGTACTACTGAGTACTGTACCTGGATGGTAGATCTGGACAGCGCCGCAATCCCTAGTTTTATTGTTGATGAACAGCGATCCACTGAAAGTTGTCAAGCCCCTTCGGACATTGTGAGGCAGAGCCATCGGCACCAGCTGAGCCCGCTGTCCCTCCTGACCTGGATCAGATGGTATTAAAGAGAAGCTCTCTGGCTTTAATTAAATTAGAGGGCTGGCCTTCCAAGCGGCAACTGGGGATAACTCTGCTATGCTGTGGTGGGAGATTTCCCTTCTGTGCTAAGAAAGCCCTGGGCAGGTGTTGCCTGATCTATCCATTGTATAGTCATTATATTACGGATTTCGTTTCCTCAGTTAGCACTTGGAAATTTGGTAGGTTCTGCTAGATCAGGCCCCATATTATCAGAGTGACTGTTCAGTGGGAGCCCAGATGTGCATGGCTGTAACACACATGCTTTGGAAATCACACACTGTTTATAATGTTATTAATACAGTTCACAAAGTCATGAATGCTCTAACCCAGCAAGGCAGCTAGAGAGAATACATAGACCTACCCCAGCCCTTGCTGAACAGTCTGATGGGTCAGTTATCTTCCCCTTCACCATCACCAGTGGCTGTCATCCAAGCATCTCCCCAGGCATGCAGGTGGGGATACAGCTGTTGTAATGTGTTATACTGACACCACTCTGCCTAATGCATATTCAGGAGGGGGTTCAGCCCCTTTTCTTTATTTGTAGTTCCTCCCCCTACTGATGCTGGGGTACCCTTCTCCCATAGCTTATTAATCCTTTTACCTCAAGCTTATTAGCATATATGTCAATCAGTTTCCATGGTATTCTTGTGGTCAGACATCTGCTGATGTTCCTAACTTTAAAACCCCCCAAGCTGGTATAAAGTAGCATCTTGTGGTTACCTGTCAGCAGTTTAGTCCCTACAGCTCTCTGCCTTGTGCTATCTTATGATCTAGGGTTACCCCCGGTTAGCTACGCCTGTTAAGGCTTTTTGGGCCTTGGGCCTTGATAAGTTTAGCTAAGCTATTGCCTTACAGGCGTTGAGGCTTGTAAGCTCATTGCATTACCACCTTAACTTACACCTGTGCCTCACCTGTTGTGTATTTGGTTGTCATGGTAATAGAATCTTGTGTTGCTATGGCAACTGAGTTAGATTATTAGGGGATAGCCCAGCCAGTTTTGGCTGACTGTTGGTCAGTTCTGAGTGTAGCAGTAAGTGGCTGCTTCAAGGTTTACAGCTCTCTGTGGCGCCAGTGATTCTTCCTAAAACTGTTGCCCCCAAGGATATAGCAACGTGGCGACAAGGATGGGATCTCTGTGCTGCCCCAGCAACCGAAGGAAGTAGAAGTTAAGGTACCAAAACAAACAAACGAACCAACCTTTTTTGCTGCTGGAAGGGAGTGAGAAGTGGCTGGTTTGCACTGACTGCAAACAAACTAAAATCATGGCTACACTTACAGGGCCACTGGAACCTTTTGAGGAGATTCTAGTGCAATGGCCTGTATATACACTGAGTGTTTTGAGCTTTTTGTTATTGCAAATGACATTACAGAAGAGAAGACGGTGCCAATATTCTTAAGTGTTGTAGGGGCTAAGACCTACTCCCAGCTACGCAGCTTACTCCACCCTGTTAAGCCAGAGACTAAATCTTACAGTGACACTGTGGAAATCCTGGGGTCCCATTTTTCTCCAAAACCACTGGTAACTGCTGAATGCTATAGGTCCCACAAAAGAGACCAGAAAGAAGACGAAGCAGTTGTACAATTTGTAGCAACTTTGAGGAAGCTTGCAGAACACTGAGTAGGGTTACCATACGTCCGGTTTTTCCCGGATATGTCCGGCTTTTTGGTAATCAAACCCCCATCTAGGGGGAATTGCCAAAGAGCCGAACATGTCCGGGAAAATACCATCCGGGCACTTCCCCTCCCACGGCTGCTCTGCTCCTCCCCTGACTCTTCGGCTCTGTTTAAGAGCCGAGCTGCCCGGGCACTCCGGCTTCGGGCAGCCCCCTTGCCTCTGGACCCCAGCCGCCAGCCGGGCACTTCCCCTCCCGGGCTCCAGCTGCGCTGGGGAAGCGCCGGCCAGGGGTGCAGGGTTGGGGGCTGCCCGGCAAACCGTGAAGCCGGTAGCACTTGGGCAGCCCTTTTCGCATGGCTGGGAGGGAGGAGGAGTCAGGGTGGGGACTTTGGGGAAGGGGCAGAGTTGGGGCAGGGAAGGGGTGGAGTTGGGGCAGGGAAGGGGGTGGGAAAGGGGCGGGGCCGGGGCCCTGTGGAGTGTGTCCTTTTTTTTTTAAATATGATCTCCTTAAATTCAGTTAGGGTTATGTTAAATGATGCCCTACGTGACAGGTTAGTGTGTGGCCTGCACAGTGAAGCTATACGGAAGTGCCTATTGACAGAGGCTCAGCTTACCTTACAGAAGGCCATTGATATTGCTGTCTCTATGGAACTGGCTACAAAGGAGGCACAATGCATCGGTGCATCCCCTAGGGTGCATGAGGTGTCACAAGAACCTACCCACAAAACTGTGGGGAGTCAGGAATGTTACCGCTGTGGTAAGCCGGGTCACCAGGCATCAGAATGCTGGTGTAAGGACCTGGTGTGTCAACACCGTGGCAAAAAGGGACACATTGCATGTGCCTGTAAGCAAAAAGAAAAAGAGGCCTGTGGTGTGGCCGACAAAAAAGGGAAATCTGCATACCCTAGAGCAGACCCAGGATGACCAAGGAGATACCTCCTCACAAGAAGAAGAGCCACTCCATGTTTTGTCTTTGGCAGTGGGCTCACATGAATACTGGGTAACCCCGTTGTTGGATGGCAAACCTATATGCAGGGAACTGGACACCGGTGCAGCCGTTTCGCTGATCTCAGAGACTGTGTATAAAGAAGAGCGTCTGGACACCTTACTATCCTACAGAAACACACCTCATGCTACGACCAAGGCATCCCCGGCCTTTCTAATGATGGGATGACAGCTGCGCACGTGCTTTGATCTGCTGAAACATTCTGAACCCCGACAAATTGGGCAATGTCGGCAGCAAGATCAAGTCATCAGGCGTGCACCCAGACCAAAAGACTGAACCTTTAGCCCGGGACAGCCTGTTTTGGCTCGGAATTATACTTCTAGAGCTAAATGGGTCCCTGCCACTGTCATTGCTCAAACAGGACCTGTTTCCTACACAGTCTGGACTGCAGAGGATCTCACCTGGCGGCGACATGTAGATCAGTTGCTGCCAGGTCATACCAGTCCTCAGGACACATCTTCAGTTGAGTTGCCTGACTTCACCACCTCCGGCGAGACACCAAATCACGAGTCACCTGATCCTGACTTTTTCCCCTCCATTACTGCCAGCGGCAGAGATACCCCTGAACGACTGGCCTCAAGGGATGAGGGCCCAGCCACTCAGCTGCAGATACAAGGTGTGCCGCTCAAACCAGCAATGACCACAAGAAGGTGACAGGTGAAGACAGAAGACCGGCTTCCAGATGGCAAAGAGCAATAGCAGGAAGGGGAACAAAATAAAACCCCAGCCAGATGAAGAGTTGTTAGGTTGTTTGATCATCTCAAATATTCTATTGTCCATTGAATTCAGTTGCCTTGTAGGAAGAGAGGTGCTAGACCAATTGTAAACAAACAGCTGCATTTTATGTGTACCTCTGTATGTGCATATCGTTAGTACTGTACGTATAAAGAGTGCCATCTGCTGGCACAAACATGAGGTCTGCAGTAGCTATATACTAAGACTACAGGATTGTCACTAGGAAGCCCAAAATGTCTGTAGTCAGTCTGAAGTGAGAGAAACAGCTACAAGCATGAGAGCTCTTCTCGTTCAGAATATTGTCGCCTGTTTTAGACCTGAGTGGCTGGTCAAATTTTGGGGCTTTAGGGACGTTCCAGGTGAAAGCAGAATATCCTCTTTGATGCAGTCTTGCTTACTTACAAGTAGGGTGACCAGATGTCCCGATTTTATAGGGACAGTCCCAATTTTTGGGTCTTTTTCTTATATAAGCTCCTATTACCCCCCCATCCCCGTCCCGATTTTTCACACTTGCTGTCTGGTCACCCTACTTACAAGGAACGTACAAAGTCCTTCTTCTCTGAGCACAGGACAAAAGGAACGGCTCCTTACAGCCCTAATCATCTTTAGCCAACACACCAAAAAGCTCTCTAGCTTTTACCAAGGACACTGCTCGACTTTCTTGCTTTTTACCCCTTCCCCCTCTCGCCCCTTGTCTGTTCTGAGTTTCTGCGCGCGTGCGCACACACACACACACACCCCTTAGCCCACATTGGTGGTAGTTTCTGGGCAGATTCTATTTGCCTTGTTTTAGATGTGGCCCCTGAACGGTCTCTTACAGCTCTCTCACATAAAGGGTGTGTTCACACATCAGTTTGAACAAGGTTCTTAACGCAGCCCGTAACAAGGTTTAACCCAGCTCCCAACAGGATCAGCAGGTTCAGACATCACTGGGTCTTGCAGTCTCTTAGGTTCCAATTTTAAGTTCTCAGACATTTGACATTACACATGACACCCGTGTGGTGTACGGCTACAGTAATGCACGTATCTGTGCTACAGCAAGTGTCCCACACCATTGTGGTATCAGAGACCTCAGCCAATCACCATCATTACTCTACAGCTAATTTGCATGCAACAATTTCATTGGTTGTATGAAGGCGACTGCACATTTTATAGACTACGTGGGTCAACTGCCACCCCTGTGTGCCCAACTGCCACCCACACAAATCAACACAAAGAAATCTCCCAGCACAACCCTTCTCACACACACAAAAATCAACACAACACAACCACAAACAATAACCCCAAATATCACTCTGAAGTCTAGAATGTCTGTAGAGTCTGTGTGAAGTGATGGAAACAGCTACAAATAAGGTCAAGAACTCATTTTGTTCACAATATCACCAGTGTGACAGCCTGCTCTTCCCATCCACCCCCCAGATGAAGAGCTGTCACATATATAGACAGACCTGGTGACTCTTTGCTATCATTGCTGCTATAAGGTGACCAGATGTCCCGATTTTATAGGGACAGTCCCGATTTTTGGGTCTTTCTTCTATAGGCTCCTATTACCCCCCCCACCCCCATCCCGATTTTTCACATTTGCTGTCTGGTCACCCTATGCTGCTACCATTCC